TTAACTCAGACTTGCAATTGAAAAGTTCCAAGTTTTGAGTGGATGGTATACTATGTGATATATTGGTATAAATATTAATCTTTTTCTAATCATTTCACCCTAAGCTGGCAGCAAAGTGACTAACACACAAAAGGTTACTAAGTGTCAAAGAACATAAGAAAAACATTATCAAGGAGAACAATTAAAGTACAGAAATTAAAACAGAAAATAACAATTGACATTACATTTAAATTTTTGAAGATAAGACCTGAAAGAAAGAAGCCAGAAGAAAGTCCCACAAGTGAGAAATGCGAAAAAAGAAACTCAGCATAAAACTTATAGTTATATCTATTCGTTTCAACTGTAAAATGATGAGATCTTGCTGACAATCTACTATTGTGTTATAGAGTCTAGGTACTATAGGGAAAACTTGAATCTGATGAAATTTCTTAATATGTATACAGATTTAAAAAAATACTTTTTTAATTGCTTTAAAATATCAACAAGAACTGATATGTAAGTGTTAAGTATTGTCCCAATGAGTTAACAGACTGATACAAACAAGGGTATGCTTAGATAAAGCTGTATAAAGACAATTAATGGTTTCTGAGAAGTATTTAATCATTCTTTTGTATAGAAAAATAATTACTGATATCAACTTCAGATTTTTTCATTCAGATGATGTAATTATACATCTGTAAAGTTAATGTATTACCTTATAAAAATGAAACATTGTTTATCAATACAAATTGTAATGAAGATTTTTTGAAACACAATAGTAATCAATTATACATTATATTGCAATTACCTAAGGCCACAAAAAAACATGATTTTCTTTACTTAAAAGCAGTTAAGATACTACTGTTAATTTCAGAAATAAAATTTTAATCTTATGTTGTGTAGGATTACAAAAACTTATATTAGAAGAAAAATAAATGTACAAAGTTATGAAAAATTAGTTTTTGCTGTGAAATATTTTCATTAAAAAGAGTCAAAACAGTCATTGAACATTTTTTGTAACAACAAATGTATGACTGAACACGAGGAAATCTTTTTTATAATCAATACAGGATTGCATATATTTTAAATTTCTTCAGGTATCGACAGTAACATTATTTTGTTGAAAATAAGACTTTTTTTTTTGCTTCTTTCTAGGAAAGGACTTTTGGATAATAAGAATTAGTCCTTTCTGTAAAGTTTTCTGATACTCCTTAGCACTTAGAGAGATCACTTAAGTTCACCAATACCAGATATCTTACTATACAACTTAGATCATGATACCATCTCTAACATGCTTCAGATTTTAAATGGATGGTATACTGTGTGAGGTTTTTGTACTATAGACAATCACTTTATGCTTCCTTTTAAGATAGGACTTTTGGATAATGAGAATTAGTCCTTTCTGTAAAGTTTTCTGATACTCCTGAGAGTGAGATCACTTAAGTTCACCAGTACCAGATGCATTATTATGCACCTTAGACCACAATACCAACTTCATTATGCTTCATAGTTCTTGACATGCGTTCAGGTTTGGATTGAACTGTTCACTAAATTTAAGAGGGCAATATTCAGGATTGATGTTGTTGTAAATTTATGACTTATCAACCCTTTATGGGTTATTTAAAACTGAAACATTTTAGATTGTAAGAATAATACTTTTTCCTTTTTTCTTTTTTTGCAAGTGAATATTGCATTAACAATTTTTTTTGAGAATAACAATGGTCTTTGTAGATAAAATTCTTACTATTTAACCCATAGATGGGGGGAGGAGATGGATGCCTAATTTTCCCAAGGGTATTTGCACGTAAGTGGATGTAACAAAACTGACTGGAATTCAAAGTTGGCTCTCTGATTTCCCATTATCCGTTACATCTGTACAACCACATAATGTTCAGCAGTACCACTCACAATTTCAAGTCTGGACACCTCAACCCAGAAAAATTTTTCAGTCACAGTTCTCATACTCAGTTCAAAACTGCTGTCTTATCTAACAAAAAAGTCTTCCTAGCACATCTTTTAGAGCTGAAACTAGCTTTTGTAAGTCTCTTTATAATGGTTCTTTTGGAGACTTGAACTCTTGTGAGTTTTTACAGATTTTGCTTTCTTTAATAAAGAACTGCATATTTGTCATTTTGTGATAGCTCTAAACCTGCTAGATCCCTTATTTGTTGCTGTTGGAAAGATAGAACAGTTTTCTTTATAATTATACAGTAATACAGAAATTTCTTTTTTGCAGGAGCTTACAAATATCAACATTGTGAAAATCATACCTGAGATTGTCACATATCAAATACACACTATTATAAGACACCTTTTCATAACAAAATGTTTGTATTTCTTAAAAACAGTTCTATTAACACCTGACATTGAACAAAATTTCTTAAATATTTGCTTATTACTTATTCTTAATAGTTTTGATGCAATTTTTTGCTCAAATGAGTATAGCATAATCATACATTGATAAAAAAGATTCTATCTTAGATATCTGATTATGCTAAAATGTTCTAACATATTAATGTTTTAATAGTTTTTCTTTTCATTGCATTTTTATTGACAAAAATGAGATGAAAAGAAAAATTAGTTAAAAAAATTAATCATGACAATACACTATCTAGGAAATTTTGACAACTTAAGTCTGCTCCATATTGCTTACACAACAAAATATTTTGAAAAAAATAAAAAAAACATTTTTTATAAAAGGATTTTAAAAATTACAGGTGTTTAATTTTTTGGGGGTTTTATCTTTTTTGCAATTAAGTCACCCTAATTTGCTTTGATATTTATTTTCTCCATTGCAGAAAACAGACCACGAGAAAATCTTGCATAAAAAGCAATAGTAAATATCATATTTGCTAAAACTCTACAAGAAAATTAACAAAAGACAACTATATGAAAAGTAGTCAGTTAATTGCTGTTAGTTGCTTGACTCAGAATTAAAATCAGCTTTGATTTTTGTAATATCAAAATGACATTTGATACAGAATTAGCAGTTGAGCTAATAATTTAAAGATATTTATTTCTGAAGGTGAGTATTGCCTACTTCATAAAATGTCAATAGTCATTAAAATTTGAAATTAGCAAATATAAAATATTGTAATATATTCTTTTCTATGATATAGGATTAGAAAATTTGCAAGTGTAATGACTTTGTCCTTTATTAGATGCTCCTTTGTTGTATCCTTATGCTCTATTAAGCTAACTTTTTAAATATATATAAAGCTTTAAAATGCAACTGGATAAAAAAAAAGGTAGATTAAAGTTGTATATATGGGAGAAGATGAAAGTTATCAGCTTAACTCACTTTCCCAAGTCAATATTCTGATGCTTGGCCATTAAACTAATGATTTGAGGAAATGTGTCAGGCTGAGAACTTTTCAACACACTACTCAATAGTCATTCATAGAACAATCCTTGTATTTCTAAATAATGAAACTATATGAACATTGTGTGGGGTGAGATCACCGAGTTTCATTAAAATTATTTCAAAATCTTTGAACTGGAAATAAATGGTCTAATAATATTTAACTTTCTAAGAGAAATTATGTTCTAAAACCATGGTTGTGCATGCAATTCAAAGTTTTAAAAAGAAATAGAAATCTTTTAAAATGTAAATATCTGATTCTAGGTTAACAAAATATGAAGTCAGTTTTAAACTACAGAAGTGAGTTTGATGCTAATAGCATTTTTTAACAGTAAATATCAGATTTAATCTGAGAATGTTTAAACTGGATATAAACTCCATAGAAATAAAATAAGAAATCTGCCTTAATAATCTATAGGTTCAAGATAACTGAATGTCATACATGCAGACAAAAAAAAAAATGAAAAAGACTCCTAAGAAATAATGAATTCACTTTTAAATGATGAAAGAATAACATGATTAGAAGATCCAAAACTGAAGATGTGAATGGAAATGGAATTTTAAATGTTTAAAGCAAAAACAGTGACAAGAAAATAAAGTTAGATAAACTAACTCTTTGCCAAGAAATGATGTATGAAATGATACATGCAGACAAATTTAGCTAGTTTGAGAGAGAGAGAGAGAAAGTGATAGAAAGAGCCTTCTGTTAGTAATAAGTAGAGAAAAAAAAGAGAAGGGATTGAGGGATAGGTGTTGTAGTAGTAGTAGTAGTAGTAGTAGTAGTAGTGGTGGTGGTGAGTATCAATAATAATAATAGTTTGATAGTCCGTGACCAATTATTGTACATGAATGCATTTAAATTTAGGAGATATATATATATATATACACACACACACAGACACACACAAGGTATACTTAGGCTGCACATATTCATCCAAACAAGTTTTGATTAAATACAACCAACAAGATCTGTCTGTTTAATTTTTTTATTGTATTTTTCCAGTTTTTGAATAAAATGTTGTATATTGGGATCAAAATTGTAGATAAACTGTCCAAAGTTCATGATTATTATGTTGTTTTGTTCAAGTACTTTTGACTATCTCAGTCCTTTTTTCCAAGAACCACATGCAGTCTGTGTGGTAGGTAAGATTCTGTTGGTTACATCCTGATATTCTTTAGAAAGCTCAAAGTTTAAAATGATGTTGCCATGGACTATTTTAAACTTAGCTTTCTAAAGAACCCTAGGATGTAGCTAATGGAATCTTACCTACAACACAGACACTGCATGATTCTTGAAAATGACTGAGATGGTCAAAAAAGTACTTGAACAAAACAACAGAACAAACATGATCTTTGGACAGTTTATCCCCAATTTTGATCCCAATATACAACATCTTATTTGAAAATTGGGAAAATACATTAAAAATTAAACAGACAGACCTTGTCGACTATTTAATCAAACTTGTTTGGAGATAATAAGCAGTAAAATACATTTTTCACATTTTGTTTAAACCTGATCCTGGCACACAACTGCTTCTTTTCAAATTTAGCTTTTTCAAACTTAGATGCTAAGAAGGTAATCCACTTGAATATTCAAACACATGTGCCTGTATACAGCTAATTGGTCACGTACTACCAGTAGTAGGGAGGAGGGACCTACCCTAATGAGTTCTTCTATTCTGCTGTCCTTCTGTTCCAGATCCGAGGTTGACTTGGATTCAATAGCGTGTAGCTGGACCAACGTTAGATCCGTCTGAAATTAGCAGGGAGACAAAGCATTAAGAAATGTTGTTTCCATTTCTCTATGCATCACACACAGAGTCTTGCTTGTTCAATAAATGTCCACTTCTTTTGGTTAAAAAATTGCGCAGGCAGTTCTGTCCCAATTTACTAGACTTGCTGTCCCTGGAGAGACAAGTTTGAGAGAAAAACCCATCATTTTGCTAAAAAGATGAAATCCATAAGAAATCACTTGTAGGAATTGGTTTTCAAGTTGCTGCTGTATTTTCTGCTGTGTTGACATCATTCTTATTGCTAAGTTTAGGTTTTAAAGTCAGGAGAGATTATCAAAGAACAGATGGGCACATGGTAGAAAGAATTAATTAAGATGAAGTTTAACTGTGATGAGGGATGAAAAACTTTGATACAATGATAAGAAAATTCAGAGTAATATCAATAAATATAAATAAAATAAAATGAATAATTCTACTAAAGAAGAAATAAAGCTTTCTAATAGCAGTAAAAGGTAAACCTGTCTTGGGACAGAATTGAGTTTGTGAATATATATATGTGCATATATATATGTATATGTGTGTATATATATATATATATATATATATATATATATATATATATACACACACACACACACATGCACAGTGTTGTAGGACGGATAATATATTAAGATGACTGAAGCTAATTTGAAATGTGTAATCCACCAAAATATATGCTCAATGAAATGCATTATAACAATCTTATAATACAATATTTGAGAATAAACAACAAAGTTTTCATCAATATTTGAAAAATGCTATTTGCTATATTTTAAATAAATGTGAATATTTTTTTTATATATAATTCAACTTGACTATATCAGAACACAAATACCAAATATAATTGCAAGTAGTTACCAAGCTTACAATGAAAATTATATTTAGATGTTTAATGATGAAATACTGGCTTTAAAAATTACTTTACTTATAGCAACCAATTTGTGATTTAGTTCTTTCTGAAATACTGAGACAAAGTATAATTATTATCCAATGATTTTTTTTATTAACATCCTCATCTTTGTCAGTTTTTCTTTTTTTAAAAGAATCCTTGACTTTATCTAAGAAGCTATGTTGTTTTCATTTTTTGCCTTTGTCTTTTTATATAGCTTAATTTTCAAGAATTTGAACTCAATTTCTTTCTGTCAATCATTTCTGAAGTCATACCTATTATTATCACTATCATTATATAACTGACAAAGTGTAAATAGTACACCTGCCACTGAGATCTAATATAGGATGGAAAAGAGGACATAAACATAGAATTATTATCATTATCACTTGTAATGACTAATATCTTAAAAGAGATGGACTGACTAAGGGTGGCATTAAAGGCAACCATTAAGGTATGATATATAAATAACATCTTCATCCTCTGGCTATAGCAGGAAGATGTGCAAATAACACTAGACTATATGAACTGGATGTCTCGGGAGCTTTTCCAGACCAATGATTCAAGATATCTGTTTACTGTAAATTGACATTTATGGGATAGTATCTAAACTTGACTCTTGCTAACCCATACAATATAAAAGAAAAAATATCTACTGCTGTAAACATACAATCCATCACCCAAATTCCATCACTAGTGTTTTATACGACAATAGTCTAGTGAATGATGACATTGGAACCTGTTTCTACATCTGTCTTGTTCTTTACAGTTGTGAATTCAATTTTTATGCTAGTCTGTAAACCTTTGTACTAACTCAGTAAACGAGTAGTACAATGCCATGAGGATGAAAGGTTGGCAAAAAAGAAGTGCATGTCTTAAGATTCTAGGATACAAAAACAAAAAGATGAAACAACATTCCCCATAAAGGAATTAATTCAAAACTCCCTGAATGTTGCTTGATACAACATACATGTGAAATGTTATTCTGTATGAACCAAAAATGAGGAGACATGTTGACATAAATGAATAATGCACTGTTTCATTTAATCAAAAATATAATTCTGGTTCACTTCAAATTTATGTTGAATAGCTGAAGAAAAGGTATTTTTACAATAGAATAGTATTGAAAAAAAAGAAAATGTTTTTTCTTTTCTTTTCACAGCTAAATCATTTGTTTTTATATAATTTAAAATCCTATTTCCAATAATTGTTTCCTCACTGCAAACTGAACTTTTTGTCTATTGGTTGCATATTTTGTAATAAATACAAAATTAAAATTTGATAGCAATGAAAGTGTAATCTAACAAAACTGTCATTTACTTTCAGAAAAATATTTTTAACCTTTTATTTGGGATGGCTATATTTCTAGTTAAATATTCTGGTTTGAATGCAAACTTTCATTTATTCAAGAATTTAAAAAAAAAAAAAACAGTTAAGGAAAGATATTTCAAGATTATTCTTAAATATAAACTTTTTGTTCACCTCAGTTTTTATCCACTGGGCCATGTGTCCTGAAGAACACATGACCCAGTGGATAAAAACATTGGTTGAATCCAGTGACTAGACCCAATGAGTTTTGAGTTGCCTGGCTACAGCTGAGGTGAACAAAGAACTTGGAGAGTTGAGTTAGAGAGAGAACTGATACTAGAAGAGGTATGGCATGTGGAACTAGAATAATCTACCCCGGTGGACAAAATAAAGGGTTTTGGTTCGAAATTCCAATTCATGAATATGGCAACAAAGGTAAGGACAACAGTTCAAACAATATAAATAATGTAAATAATTACAATACCTAATCTCATAAATATAAACAGGTATTGATGTTGTATATTTGATTTGATTTTATGGCCTATCAACCCAGTATGGGTTATTTAAAACCAAAACTGTCATATAGGACATAAATGAATGGAAATGTCTGTTTATATAAATAAGGGGAGTTAATTAAGCAGAGTCGGGGAGAGTTAGCATTAAATCCATTGCTATTTGTAGCTTTGTGTAGTAAACCTTTTATTTCATTACTTACCTACAAGTTTGTCTTCTTTATTTATTTCCCTCTCTTATCTCAAAAACATGAGATACAACAGTTCTCAGCAAGGATTTAAATACAACTATCCCCCCTCCAAGGCCCTGTTCTGCCATCCATTTAAACAAGTTCGTTAAGTAGGTTGATCATGGCTCTCCATAACTAAATGATATAAATGAATGGATCATCCATTTATGTAAATAAGGGAAGTTGAGGAGAGTTAGCATTAGGTCAATTGCTAAGTTTACCTTTGTGTAGTAAACCTTCTATTTCATTATTCATTCATTATTTTAGTTTGTCTTCCTTATTTATTTTCCTCTGTTATCTTGAAAACACAAGATACAACAGAAACATATTTTGAATAGTAAGAATAATACATTTTTCTTTTTTTTGTGATTAAATAATGCATTAACAACTTTTTGAGAATAATATTGATTTTTCTAGAAAAAAAGTCCTACTATTTAACCCATAGCTAGATTAAGAGATGCATTTGTAATATTCCCAAAGGTAATGGAACAAATCTGACTGAAATTTGAACTAGCCTCTCCAATTTCTCATTCTGAGGTACTATCCATGACACCACTCTCACACACATCCACTGATAGTATGTATGAGCCTCATTTACATTTAATATTAGCCTTAAAGAAATCTCAACTTCACATGTAAGACCCAGGAGATATTTTTTAACCATGTTTTAGGCAAAAAGATATTTCATAGTTTATCAAATATGGTGTATGTGTTTCATTAACTTGCATTTAGAAATTTAGTTTAGGTTATGAGAGTTTTTACAAATATAAAAATTATGAATTTGATTAATTTTGCCTAAAGTCTACATGTCCAATCATTAATTTAAATGCTTGTATGTATTGAACTAAATCAATAATAATAAAAGCAGCCTATTTCTTCAAAGATTCACATTACCAGACCCACTAAAATCACTTAGAATTTATGGTATCAAACAATGAAGAAACTTTCAAGTATTCTAAGAGTTACATGCTGGACAATTTCCTCATAGATGAAAAGGAGACAAGGTAATGGAGATGTGATTGTACAAAAGAATACTGATAATATCATGGATGGAACATGTGAGCAATCAGGAAGTTCTGAAGAAAAATGGTAATGAAATGGACACTTTTGCTTAGGATCAGAAAGAGATAGTCAAAATTGCTGGGACACTTAATGAGAAAAGAGACCTTGAAGAGTCTGACACAGGACATATCAAAAGTATGAGGGCAGAAACAAACTTATGTAAATGGATGCAGAACATGTACAGGGTGGGATACTAAGAGGTTAAATATTGCTTAGTGCTACAAAGAGTAGGAAGTCTTGGAGAACCATGACTGCTCATCTCCTGAAGGAACTCAGCACATAAAAGAAGAGGAATATCTGTTACAAGGACAAACTTATTATGAATGGTTCATGAGACTAGTGTGTTAGTGAGTTCCCAAGTGAGGTTAACAGTTTTATAATGTTGAAGTGCTTTATTTTTGATCAACAGATATTGATAGAATTTGATTATATGCTTTCATCTTTTAACATTGAATTATAAGAAACCACAGAGTTTTAGATTTCAGTTAAAATTATATAACTTTCTTTTTTAAAAAAAATCATACAACTTTTTAGATCTTAATGTCAGTGAATGCTAGACAATCTCATCACAGATGAAAAAGACTCAAGGCAGCAGAAATGTGGTTCTACAGAAAGATGCTGAGGATACCATGAACTAAATATATGGGCAGAAATAAAAAAAATTCTTATACTTAACATCAGAAAGAGTTGAAATTTCTAGGGCACATAATGAAGAAAGAGGACTTGAAAATTTTGACACTCACAGGACATATATTGAAGGCAAAAAGAACAGAGAAAAGCAGTGCATAACATGCCTAACAAGCTTGTGTAAATGGTTGGCAGAACAGGGATTAAGAGAGATAACAAAAAGACAAACTTTATTAAGTGCTACAAAGGAAATGGTGAAGAGCCATGATCATCCACATTCTGAAGGGACACAGCACATAGTAGAAGATGAAGTATAAAGGCCAACTGTCAACATTGAAAAATATATACAAAAT